ACCATCTGCCTGGAGACTAGGTTTAAGGATAATTTTGGAGGGAGGAGTCCATGATGTGACTGGTGAAGAACTCGGATATTCAAACCACAGCAACCGCCAAGTTGCATAAACTCTCCTCAGATTTTGTCCTTTTCTTTTTGTAGTTCTATCCGCATGTATTTTATACCCCAGTTAGAACTTATTTCTACCTATGGATACAACTTAGAATCACTAGGCTATCCTGGTGAGGTGACCCATTTCTCCTTACGAAGTTGCCTTTCTGTGTGAGTCATCCCTTAAAAAGTTCAGCTATAGTAACAGCACCACAACACCAATCATGTGACTCACGCACTGAGCCCCCAAGGGAGTGACACACAGCTCATGTTACAGTCATCAAGGAAAGCCACCTGACTACACCCACCTCCAAACCCTGGGCTGCTTCTAGCAAGGAGGGCTCGCTTCTCTTCCTGTTGTCTGTCCTCAGCGGCACTGCCCATTGTCCATTAGGGATTATCATCATTCAGAGACCATGTCTCAGCTGGGACACACACTCCCTGACGCATTGCATGGGGAACACACCTGGCTTCCACACATGTCCAGGTGGCTGGCCATCATCACACCCACAGGGTGGAAGTCAAGCCTCTCACAGACACGTCCCACCAAGCACTGAGAACAGCTGTGCGCTCCACCCCCATGTTTCTGACAGCACTCTGCTTTGTAGCCTAACCAGTGCTCCTACAGTAAAGCCAGTCCACAATCTCTCTTACAATGGCTTGGCTTCAAATTTCCCATCATGTTCTACTTCCAACAGCACATGGTTTGAAATTTGCATTATTATTTTAAAAATCTAGCATGCCAATCATCTTTTAGCTAGAAGGATTAGGGATTTTTTAAATATATACTTATTGTGGTTCCTGATACATTTGAATTTATTTTCCCACTTTATTTTGTGCCTTACATTTTTTTTTCAATCTTTAAAAAAGCTGATTTATTTGAGAGGCAATGAGACAAAGGAAGAGGCAGAAAGGATGAGTTATCACCTGCGTTTTCATTGCAAATGCTCACATTAGCTGAAGTCGGACTGTGCCAAAGCCAGGAGCCAGAAATTCAATCAAGGCCTGCCCATGTGGTTGGCCAAGGACCCAAGTCTTGGAACCTTCATCACCACCTTCTTCCTTTGTTTTTGCTCTGTTGTTGTCAAAATCTGCTATCCTTTTATTAACTCTCGATATTCTATGATTAACGTATACTGAGAGTTTAAAGTCCATGAACACATTTGTGGACCCTGAAGTACCCAAGGGTTTTACTTCACCTGTCTCTGAGTCAGCTTCTTCTCTCTGAGCCTTCACAGTCCCTGCTACTTCGACTGTGAACATGACTGTGAGGTTTACTTTGGCCAACAAGTTGTAGGCTTGACCAAACACTGACCCCTGTCCCGTGGTTTAACAGTGTAATCCATGCATTCATTTTCTTTATCCTGCTTTGGATAAACTGTCATTCTTGGGGCTTCCTATCTTTCACCAGTTCTGCAGCATTCTTCACCCATAAGGATTTGACAACTGCCTTCCACACATTCTTTTACTATCTCCTAACATGACCCATGGCATGTGTTAAAGTTTCACACTCTTCCATTTTCTTATCTCTTCGGTATGTCTGCTGGGTTATTTTCTTCAGATCTATCTTCCAATTCACTGATCTCCTTTCAGCTGTATCTCACTTGGTACATAGCCTTTCTAATGAACTACACATTTCTTTAAAATAATAGCTGTGTCTATAACTTCCATGTAATTTATTTTTACATTGACCTAATGATTTTTTTTATAAAGGTAAGTCTTTTTTATAAAATATTTATTCTTACTATACGTTTTTACTTGTTTTTACTGTAAAGTACCCCCAGCTTTCCATGCAAATCAGAGGGTGTTGCAGTTCCACAGAGGCAAGCCCACAAGTCCCCTACAAAATCTGCTGCCAGATCCAGTTCTCTCACTTTCTGGTGGGTACTGCAGCTAGCCTGCCATGGCTTACCCTCTGCCCCAACACTTGAGGATGGGTGCTACAGCCCAGCCCAGCCAGGCATGCCCCCAGCCCCAGCCTTTGCATGTACCAGCAGGTGCAGGCAGTGCTATTTAGCTCTGCCCAGGTCTCCCACATAGGCAAGTACCTTGGTTTGACCCACACATTTTCCCAGTTTCTGCCACTAAACCACTCCATCTCAGCTTCCTCACCTAACTGCAAGTGCAGTGGCCTGGTGCACGGAAGACTCCGGAAGTCAAACATGCCCTCAGGTGTTCCCACTTTCATATGTCTCCAGACTGCCTTCCCTGAGCAATTTACAGCCCCGTCCTGCCTGGGGTCTAGGGTAACATGTCCAGGCCCATTATTCCTCCACAACTATGCTGGCAAACTGCTATAGTTAACACAAATTTGGCATTAACCAGGCCCAGAATGCCCACCAGCTATTGGCTGCTCTCTCCTCCCAACAATGTTAATATGTGCCTAGGTATAAGGCAACCTAGGCAGTCGCCTATAGTGGGGACTTTTTTTTTTACCCTTTACGACTTATTTACTTGAAACACCGAGTTACAAAGAGGGAAAGAGAAAGAGAAAAAAATCTTTCATCTTCTAGTTTACTGCCCAAATAGCCACCACATTCACATTTGGACCATCTTTTGCTGCCATTCCCCACACATTAACAGGGAGCTGAAGCCCTTCCAGGCATATTAGCAGGGAGCTAGATTGGAAGTGGAGCACCCAAGACTCCAACTGGCACTCATATGGCTTGCTACTGCACCACAATAACGTGTCATGAGTTCCTACAGAGAAAATGTTTATACCTGTATTGGCCCCAAGTTTTTTTTTAATTAAAATGTTTAGCTTTGTGGGCTTTTGCCTTGTGCAAATTGTGCGTCCCTGTGATGGTCAGACTGTGCGTCCCTGTGATGGTCAGACTGTGCGTCCCTGTGATGGTCAGACTGTGCGTCCCTGTGATGGTCAGACTCTGGCTACAAACCCACGGGGTAACATTTTTCCCTTCCATCCAGAGCCAAAAGCAAAGAGAGTTGATTTCCTTGCCGCGTGGCAGATTCATCCTGGAGACACAGGCCATCTTGACTGCCAACCTGAGGTGGCACTTGAGCTCTGACACTGCCTGGACCCAGGGAAATGCTCCCACTAGCAGCATCAGTGTAGTCTTCTCTCCAGAGCCGATTCTCAAAATCTGTCAGTTTAGTACAGGGATTAACAGCCACAAGATGGAGGGTGTTATCTGGATACAACACCAGGACATCAGTACATTTCTGCTCTCCTCCTAGCCCTAAGTGACTCCCCTGATTTTCTTGCAATGCTCTCTATTTCTCCTAGCAATGTTATATGTACATATATCTGCAGTAGTCATAGTTAGAGCTAGAGTCCACAATATGACTGGAGTTGAAATCTAAATAAGTGGGTTTATTTTATGTGAGCAATCACCTGGAGGTAAGTAGGGCAAAGATGGGCCTGGCGTTGTGGTGGACCAGGCTCTCCATCTGTTTGCCCTGCTGACACAGGCCAGTAGCAGCCCAGCCACAGGTTACAAGGAAGTCGGCGCAAAGGATAGAGGCAACCTTGGTCCACATCTCACACGAAAGAATTTTCACGTGGACAATTCAGTGAGCAAAGAGAGATTTATTAAAAACCGAAGCGTCCTGCCACAGCAATTAGGAGTTAGGGCTCCAAGAAAACCCAAGACTGTAGTGGGCATGGAGTCTTTCAAGGGCAGTTTGGTTGCACAGAACAGCAACAATCCACATAGGGCGGGGACAAAGCCCGTCGGAAGGCCACGAGCGATAACTTCTATTCTCAGGTGGGGGGAGGGAGAAGGCATGGCAGTTTAGTCATGCTAAAAGAACCTGCTGGATCTTGTACACATCTGAAGAGACTCCCCCTTCTCTCACTCCACAGGGACATGACCCTAACTATCCATCAATCGCACCTGCTTCCGATCTCCTTAGAGGCAGGAAAAATGATCTCAAGTCTTAGCGGATTTGGTAAAGCAAAACAAAACCATTTTCTAGACTCCGCGCGCTCAGTGACTGCTGCTGCGATCACAAGCCCAGTTACAAGCCTGAGGTCAGATCAAGTGACTGTGGTCCCTGTTGAGGCACTGCTTTCAGCTCCAAGAAAACTCCACCTTCCTCTGATCAAAGGACTTCTGAAAACGGAACAAAACTGAGTTGGCTCTGTTTGTTTTTAGGGAGGCCAGAAGATAAGGGAAGGTCCCATCTACCGGAAGGCTTTGCTGGAGGGTGTGGGTGGAACTAGCGGGTGGCGCCCAGACCCGGAGAACAGCATCTTTGGAAGCTGTGCGGTGCCCATCTCTGCAGTTGGGTCTCCTAGCCATCTCCTTCCAGAATTCTCTCAACAACTCCCGGGTCCTTGAGCCCAACAAGAAGCAAGAGAAGCCTGCTGGGAAACTCAGATAACCCACACTCCCCTCCTCAGGCCTATCTGGCCCATCCTAAATCCAGAGGCACTCGGGCCAAGTCCTTACAGCTGCGTGGAGTTGGGGTAGGCAGCCATATAAACGAGCTCCTTGGTCTCTGACCAGGTCTGAGGGGTAGGAGGCCTGAGTCATGCAGAAGAAAAGGCAGGGGCAGCCGTGGACAGGGTGGCTGCAGACTAGGGGAGGCCCAGCAAAACGCGGTCACACAGAGGACACCGGCCATTTCACGGGTCCTTTCGAGGCCAAGAGCGGACTAGGCTTGTGGAGCCCGACTCCCGTCTCTACCAAGGAAGTTAAAGTCAACGACGGGATCCCGACCGGCCATCCTGCGATGGACTGGCCACCGACCACAGCGCGCAGGCGCCGGCCGTCTCCCCTTGCGCCCCGCCCAGGAACGTGAGCCCGCATGCGCGCACAGAGCTTTTTTTTTTCTTTGCGGGGGTGGTAGAGCCGATTAACCCCTCCGGAAGTACTGGCCGTTTCGTGGGGCGGGACCGGAGAGCGTTTCCGGGGGCGGGAGGTGCAGGCTGAGGCTGTTGCGGCGGCGAGAGAAGCGACAGGCCTGTGACCGGCGGCGGTGGAGGGTGCCCGGGGCTGGGATGTGAGCGCGGAGCCCCCTTGACAGGTAACGGCGGCGTCGGGACCGCGGGCCGCACGGGGCAGCCGGCTGCGGGGTTCGGGGGCTTGTCCTCAGCCCGGGGCGCGCGCAGCTGCCTCCCCGGCCCTGTCCTGTGCGCCCGGGATGCCGGAGCGGCTGGCGGGCGCTCGGGGTGCTCGGGGTCCCTTCCCTTCCTCCCCGGGCCGACCCCCGCGGGGCGCGCAGACCCGGACCCGGACGCCCATCCTCTCCACGCGCCCCCGGGCAGCCTCTGGTCCAAGGTCACCCCGAGGCAGCGTCGCTCGGCGGGCCCCGGGGCGCTTGGAGATCCGCCTTTTCGGGGCGCGGGGAGGTGACTTAGGGGTTCGAGCCAGGCGTTGTGACCCTGAAGAGCCTAGACCACCTGTACTTGGCTGAATTGCCTTTTTTTTTTTTTTCCCCACCCCCTTGGTTGTTTTTCACCCTCTGTCACCTGTTGTCACCTAGCCTCCCTGGGTTGGATAATGGTCTCCACTTCGTGGCTCTTGAACTAGCTCCGTGTTATCTCGACACTGCTATTTTGTTTTCTATGTCTCCTGTCCCACCCCCACCCCCGGACCGTCCTGTGCTTCTGTCTGTTTCTCCTCTTTCTGGCCATTTTGTATCTATGTTCTTTCTTTTCTTTTCTTTTCTTTTTCCCCCCCTGCCTCTTCTCCCTAAAGTTTTGCCGGGGCAGGGCGGGGCAGGGCTGGGCGGGACCTCTGAACCCCGGAAGGTGACTCAAGACCCCGTGGAGCTCCCGGTGTGTGTGCGTGTGCACGCGCGCTCGCGGGGGTGACATTCCAAGGAACTGCATCGCCTGACGTCTGACAGATGTCTGTCAGATAACCTCCCTGGCTGGGGCGCGCTGGAGGGATCCCCGTCCGACCGCCCTCAGCTTACCTCCTGACCCCTGCCCGTCTCCCACCCAGGAGGGCCCCTGGGCGTGTGCTTGGGGACTCTGTTTTAGGGGCGCTGCAGGTGTCAGCACATTGACATCCTGAGGTTGAGGGATTCACTCTGTGCTCTGCAGAATAGGAGAAACGAGTGCGATCCAAAAGGGAGAAGTGTTGAGACCACTGAAGGTGCCCAGGGGGAGGGGAAGAGCTCACATTCGCGGAGAAAGTAGGACAGGAGTTGGGCTAATCGAATTTGGTGAAAATCCTGCGGGACTTTCCTCCTTACACAGCAGATTCCCGGCTGGATCTCCCTGTCAACCCCGGACGCAGGGAGGAATTTGCTGGCCAAGCAGGAAATTTGAGAATGATTTTACTGTTCACGGGAGGAAAACCTACAGGGTGAGACCGGTAGCCCTGCTGTGATGGGAAGGCAAACTTGGGCGTTACTGCTGTTTTCTCACGGGGAGCGCCTGTGTTATTCTTGTGGGTTCTGTTGTTTAAGCCCTCCCTTCTTTGCCTCTGAGGTGGCTGGTCAGAGGTGTCGGTCCTCAGGTGGTATTACATGTTACTGAGAAATAGATACTGCCAGTGAAGATGTGACAAAATGTTTTCTTGCCGTTTAGACTTTATGGGCATTAAAAAAAAAAAGTGAATATTGCCATGTGCATGTGAAGAGAAAAAAAAAACAAATAAAAATAAATTGGTTAAGCTGTTGATTAAATTTGTTGACCGTCTAAGTTATATTTTCAGTTTGGGGCACCACAGCTCTGTCCACAGGAGGGACAGCACTTGAAATGCCACTTGACTGTCCTCATTTCAGAAATGTTAAAATGTATGCCTTAATGTCAATTCGATATGCTTCTATTCCTATTTTTATTTTTAAGAATGTATTTATGTGAGAGGCAGAGAGAAAGCACACCCACCCACTGGTTCACTGAGGTGTTCCCCCAACAGCTGGGAGTTAGGCCAGACTGAAACCAGGGACAGGGGATTAAATCCAGGTCTCCCCCCAGCAGTGGCAGGACCCAGCGACTTGAGGCATCAGCCACTGCCCAGCCTCCATTAGCAGGAAGCCCAGGAATTGAACTCAGAAACTCAACGTGTGTAAACCCTAGCGCTAGTCCCCACTTGCTTTATAATAGTGATCAAAGTGAAAGGGGAGTTATTTGTAAACTGCTGGGGGAAAAAATCCCTTTTATTGTTGCTATAGAGTTAATACTTTTTATAAAATGCCTTCTGTTTTCTTGACTTGAACTCCTTGACCTGCGTTCTAATGTATATGAGGATACAATTTAAAATTTTTCATGGTTTTACGGAAATATAATAGAAGACTGACTGGTAGGTGGGCAGTCAGCTCCTTGGACAACGCCATCTCTTGGGCTGACTCTGTGGACTATGCCCTGGAAGTTTTGAGTAAAACATTCAAGTGTGGAGGCCCAGCACAGTAGCCTAGTGGCTACTTGAATGCACCAGGATCCCACTGGTTCGTGTCCCAGCGGCCCCACTTCCTATGCAGCTCCCTGCTTGTGGCCTGGGAAAGCAGTTGAAGATGGCCCAAAGCTTGAAGAGTGTAGTGGCTCTTCATGAAGCAGGTGGGTTGTCTCCTAAACGTGAAGTTTTACTAGGTTTTTTGGTAATATGTTCCCATTAGGAAAAAAGGATGCTAGTGGATAAAAGCACTTGTCTGAAGTGCTTTTTAGATTAAAAAAGAAGTTTACTTAGTACAAAGACAAAAGCTAAGAAGTTGGAGACTGGAAGTTAATGTGACCAAAAAACCCAGTGTGTTTTCCTCCGTGGGCTTCTGTAGGGCTTGTTGGTGAGACAGGTGGACACGGCAATTGGAACCGCCTCTCTTTAACATTTCCAACATGATTTTATTTTTTCCTTCCAGATGTCAATGCGATTTTCCTTTGGAGCAAAGCTGAGCAATGGGGCCATCTTCCTTACTGCTCCCTCCTGTTTTCTGATCGCCATGGCATAGGAACTGACCCCGGGAAAGACTGCCCTGCTCTAGGTGGGCTTCACTTTTGTAATTACCCCAATGTAGAAAGTTCCTTACCAGCAGTGTAACCAGCCAGAGGAGTGGTTCGAGATAGGCCTGTGATTGCTCTGGCCTGTATTCTTTGACTTCCTTCTCCTTTCCTAAAGAGATGTGGCACATTTTTTAGGGTGATCACCTCCATGTTTGCACTGAGAGAGCATGGACTTTCAGATAAATGTAACTAAATGTCAGTTTTTATATGTGTAAAAGAGAAGGCAGGTCTTTTAATCTGCGCTTTAGTTGCTTCTCTTTATAATGAGTATGACAAGAACACGAATGTGGCAATAATGTGCTGTGTGCGTTTTAAAAGCATGTGACTCATGTGGACTTTTCGTGGTAAGGTGTTGGTGTTTTTGCATATTTCTGGAGACTTCAAATGTGTTAAAGGAACATTTTCCAGGTGTAAATGCACCATCAACAGTAACCATGCAAATCGCCATGTCACCCTGGTGAAGAATTTCTCTAGAAGGCTTCCAGACAAATAGTTGCTGCATTTGCATCCCATTACATTGATACCTGTGTTTGCAGGCTGTTTAATACACAATTAAATAGAGGGGTTCATACTGTAGCACAGCTGGTTAATCTGTTGCCATTAATGCTAGCAGCCCAAGTGAGCACCAGTTTGAGTTCTGGCTGCTTCATTTGCAATCCAGCTCCCTGTTCATCTGCCAGAGAGCAGCGGAAGCTGTTCTCAGCGCCTGGGCGCCTGCTCCCACTGGGAGACCAACCTGGATGAAGCTCCTGGCTTTTGGTTTCAGCTTGGCATAAATTAATTGATTGTGATTGATAGAGGCTGCCATTAAACTCCAAGCCGGAAGACATCTTGGAGGTTGTCTAGTTCAGGGGTTCCTCAGTGTTGCCGTCTGTCTTCTAGTTCCAAGGAACATGGAGGGAAGGACCAGAGAGAGGGGAGTGGGTTTAGAAGAGCCATTGCTGGGCCCAGAACAGTGGCCTAGCGGCAAAAGTCCTCGCCTTGAACGCACCAGGATCCTATATGGGTGCCGATTCTAGTCCCGGCAGCCCTGCTTGCCATCCAGCTCTCTACTTGTGGCCTGGGAAAGCAATCAAGGACGGCCCAAAGCCTTGGGACCCTGCACCCGTGTGGGAGACCTGGAAGAGCTCTTGGCTCCTAACTTCGGATCGGCACAGCACCGGCCGTTGCAGTCAATTTGGGAGTAAATCATCGGATGGAAGATCTTCCTCTCTGTCTCTTCCTCTCTCTATATGTCTGACTTTGCAATAAAAATAAATCTTTAAAAAGAAGAACCATTGCTGCTGGATTAAAAATAAGCATGTATGTGTACCTACAAGGTCTGTTTAGGGTTACCAAAACTCAAATGTGAGCGTGGAAGTGCCTGCAGTTAGTAATAGGTACATTGTGATCGACTGTGTAGGTTATTTGTGGAAATGCTTTTCACTTTTCCCTTTTGTACTAGCTCCCTTCTCAGCCTGTGATGGTCCAGAAAAAGCACTTCAATTTCAATCCCAGCTTCAGTACCTGTTAGTGGTATGACCTTAGGCAAACAGATTAGCCTCCTTGTCTATTTCTTAATTTGTACAATGGGAATAAAAAATACCTGCCAAGTGGATTCTGTAAGGATTAAATGAAGTAGACTCTCTGAGGTCACGGCCCAGAGGCTGGTACTGTGCCTGCTGCCAATGCCTTTACATGTCCCTGCACATACTTACATACATATGTACATGTACCTTGTTTGTTTGTGGATGTATTTACTGAAGAGAAATTGCTGTTATAAATTTGCATTATGATAATTTCCTATTTACAGTCTTAAATCTTTTTTTTTTTAACATTTATTTATTTTTGTTGAAAAGGCAGATTTAAGGAGAGGAGACAGAAAAATTGTCCGTCCACTGGTTCTCTTCTTAAATGGCCACAACAGCCAGAGCTGAATCTATCTGAAGTATGGAGCCAGGAGCTTCTTCTGGGTCTCCCACTTGGGTACAGGGTCCCTAGGTTTTGAGCTATCTTCTACTGCTTTGCTAGACCACAAGCAGGGAGCTGGAAGGGAAGTGGAGCAGCTAGAACATTGACTGGCAGCCATATGGGATCCTGGCACTTGGAAATGGAGGATTAGCCATTTGAGCCATTGCCCTGGGTCCCAGTCATGAATCAAAGTTGACTCTGACTGCCTCGGTTTGTCTGTGTTGATCTGTGTTTTTAAAGCAGCCTTATGGAGGCGTAGTTAACAAGCAGTTAAAGCGGTTTTTGATAACGTAGTTATGTATTTGCTCACCCATCACCAAATTTAGGTTCTCATCTAAAATCACAAGTCCTGACCTTGTGACACAGCAGGCTAAGCCACTATTAATGAGTGCTAGTTCAAGTCCTGGCTGTTGCACTTCCAATTTAAGGAATAGAATTGCTGAATTACATGGTATTTCTGTTTAGCTTTTGAGGAAATGCCACGCCATTTCCTTCATGGTTAGACTGTTTTTGCCTACAGTCTCTTCGCAGTGCTGGCGAAGAGTTCCAGCCCCTGTACACCCGTGTCTGACGCTTGCCAGCCTGTCTTGCCTGTTGTGCCCTCCTGCGGGGTAAGAAGGAGCAGCTCATGGTTTTCATGATCTTTTCCATGACTAGTGATGGCGAGCATTTTCCGTGCTTATGGGTTATCTTCTTTGGGGAAATGTCTCTTCAGATCCCGTGTCCGTTTTAAGCGGATTGTTTGTGTAGAATTGTGAGCTCTTTATTCTGCAGGTGGGTCTCTCGTTAGTTACGTGAGCCACATTTCCCGTTCTGTTTCTCGATGGCATCACTTATACCCTGCACCTCTGTCTCTCCCTGCCGCCCAGGTGGTTTTCTGTTTTCCATGCCCACTGCTTTCAAACCTCGGCTGTACTTGGTAAAACCCTGCAGCCCACCTGTCTTCGGAGTGCCTCGCCTTGGAGGCTGTTAACGGTTTTAGTCTCTCCTGCCACTCAGAGGCTCTGCTGACCAGGGGCCCTGCTGGTGCTCGGGCTCAGCCTCCAGCAGCAGTTAGGGTCTCCCTCCCTGCACACCCTGTCATTTGATCTGTGTGACAGGAAAACAGACAAGGAAGAGCTTGTGGTGCAGCTTTGGAAGGTGAAGTGGCCATAGTCTTGGATGTTGCTTTCAAAAGGATGAGACCAGCCACCTGGCTCCTCAGTGTCTCACACTCACCCTGTGCTGAATTCACAAAAGGTTAAAGTAAATCAATGGTCATGCCGGTGCTTAATCAGGTTCCCTTCTCTGTTAATACATGAAGCTAACTTTTCTCTAGTGTTGTAAAATTTTTATACCAAGGTTTTTAAATAAAATTAATTAGCATATTTTCTCCTACCCCTGTTCTCTTTCTCCATTTGCCTCCTGTACTTTGGATAACCGTGATTTTATCACATTGAAAAAAACTGAAGAAACACATTCCATCAAGCACATCTCATGCATTTCTTCTCTGAGGAACTTGTCAGTGGTCTGGCCATTTGTGGTCATTTCTGCAGGTGTCCAGTGGGCACTGGAAAGGGCGGGTCACCCTGCAGGACACACAAGTCCACAAGTTTGCATTAGATTCACACTGTTGATCCCTTAAATCCTCATCCTTTGTTTGGTTATTAAGGATTGAAAGAGAGGTGTTTGTTTCTTTATGTAATTGTCGCGGAGCTGAGAGAGCTCACACAGGACCCAAATGTAGGGTGTTAGGCATCTTTGTTGCCCAGGCTTGGCGTCAGTAGCTCCCACAACTTTGTAGCACAAGTCAAGGGTTTTTAAGCTTTCATCCTCCAATCAGATGGAGAGCTGTGCAGAACACAGTTTCAGTGCAGGAGGCAGGCAGGGAGCTGCTGGAGCCCAAAGCTGTCCTGTAGTTGTGCTGTCTTCATAATCTAGCACAATAGGAGGCAGGAGGGCCAGGTGCAGGGAAGTGGCTGTGGAGCAGGCTCCGTTACATGCTGTCAGTCAACTGGGATGGTGCAGAAGGAGGAGCGGGGCTCACTGGAGGATTCTATCAACACAGTGTCCTTGACACTTAGGAGTTCACAAAGTGAAACTCATTGTGATTTCATCATTAAGAGCTCATTCCTCTGAAAAAATTTTTTACACTGAATTCTACTTTAATATTAGTATTGTGTTGCTTCACTTTTTTAAAGACTTCGTTGTTTGAAAGAAACTTCCATCCACTGGTTCGTTCCCCCAGGTGGCTACAACAGCTAGTGCAGGGCCAGGTCAAAGCCCGGAGTCCGGCTTGCACATTGACGGAAGGAGCCCAAATACCGAGAGGCTGCCTTCTGCTGCTCTCCTGCGTTAGCGAGAGCCCAGGCAGCGGGCACGCCGACAGTGCAAGGGGTGGCAGCAGTACTTCCCGTGTTTCGTTTTCACTTGTTTTTGTTTTCATATCCTTGTTCTGTTTTGTTATTCAGATTTATTTGTCGATTTGGAAGGTCAGAACTACAGAGATAGAAGGAAAGAGAGAGTTTTCATCTGCTGGTTGATTTCCCAAGTGGCTGCACCAAGTCAAAGCCGGAAGCCAGAAACTGCCCTGGTCTCCCTCGTGAGTGGCAGGGATCCAGGCAGCTGGACCATGTGCTGTTGCCTTGCCAGGGCGTTAGCAGGAAGCTGGTTCAGAGTCAAAGCAGCCAGGACTTGAGCCAGTACTCCAGCTTAACTGTCATGCCACAGCATCAGCCCCATTGTAAGCAATTGTGAGTGTACAGTTCAGTGGCATTACATGTAATGTTGTGCAGTTAACACTACTATTTCTTAACTCCTAACAGAAACTCTAGCCATTAATCAATAATTCCCTATTCACCAGTGTCTTTCCTGAGCCCCTGGTAACTTCTAGTCTTTGCCTCGTTAAGATAGTTCACACAGTGACGTTGTGGTTGTGCTTCCATGTTGGTCTTATTTCAGTTAGTATAATGTCTCATTGTCTATCCGTGTTACAGCTTTTATCAGAACCCCTTTCATCGTTAGGACTATTCCATGATGTGGGTCTATTACA